ACATAGGCTTTCTTGAACTTACTTTTGAATAAAATTTTGATATGTCTGGAGAAATCGTAACATGCTTTCTTAAAAGTACTGGAAAATGGACTTTTGAAAAGTACTGGAAATATTGTTTTAATCATCTTGGGTATTGATGTCGTTTGCCGACTCTATTTTTTCTCTTGAACACGCCTTAAACAAACCCTTAAATAATATAACTAATATGCCTAAAGTTCTACACAGTCTTGAATTCTGTGACACTGTATGACCTGAAAGATTGAATTAACCCATTAATTACCGAAGCCTGATAGTCCATGAGAAGCTTATGGGAATGGGAGAATTCAGCAGGAAAAGGATTAACAAGATTACAAACATGATTGATCTACAAGAAATATTACTTTAGATAATGTCATAATCATGTTTCTGGATTATACATCTATTCTCTCTGCATTCTAAAAAATAAACCATCATTTCTTTCCCTCAACAACTGCCAAGCTCATATTATCTTAAGTTTTATACATACATAAAAATATCTGAAGTACAGTTTCATTTATTTACAAGCATCATTGTAGAATGTGAATCATTATCATTCTTCATCTCGTACCTGATACCAAACAAAAAAAGTAATTTATTCTAAAATGGAATTTGAAGAGTCATGTATTACATTAACGTTCTTTTATTTTTTAAATGCCTAGATTTATCATTTCATATTAAGCGTTTCTTGTATTATAAAAATGGGGGGGGGGGCAATTCAGAAATCTTCTGACCAACATGCACACACATACAAAAAGGTTATATTTTCTGAGATACCTTCAGGTTCAAAAGTTTGAAAAGAAGGGCACATTTTGGGGGGCTGGTGCGGGACACAGGTTTCTGTGCCCCCCCCCCCCCCCCCCACCCGAAAAAAAGAAGTTACACTGCCACTATGGTCCGAATTCACAAAGGAGGTTTGTCGACAAACCTCCTTTTGTTTCGTCAAACCTCCTTTTGTTTTTTACAAACCAGGTTTGTAAAAACGCCTCAAAACGCGTCATATGACGTACGAAAATCTGGTTTGTCACAAACCTTCCTTTGTGAATTCAGGCCTGTGGGTTTCAGCATACAACTTGTCACTCACATAAATGTAGTATACAACCTGTTATCCTATATTTTACATCTCACAATTTGGCAAGAGAAACTTTTTCAAGAGGGATAGAGGACTTTGAAACAAGGCCTAACGGTACACGATGTCTACAACATCATTCCTACACATCAGTAAGTGTTTTTACAATATTTTTTGGTACACATTGAATTGATTAGGCTAGATAAATACAAAAGAACCGTATTATTTTGCTAAGAAACAATTGCCCCGTTCAAAGTATGTTTATAAGTTATGTAATCTATATAAAATCACTTGGAAGCAAATATTGAAGAAAAAGATCCTGATTATTTTTAATTATTGTTACTCTCCATAGCTATTGGTTTTATTTACACAAATATGATTAGATAATATTCAATTGTAATCAGTGATATTTTATAAAGTGTGTTTTATTTACATTACATATGTCTGGCTAAAAGATGACTAAAACCTCACGTATCACTATTAATTAGTACATACACTTGGATACATGTTTTTGGTTAAAAAAATTACTAAGAGAACAGCACATTCCATATGAAATTCACCTGCATTGAAAACACCTTTTCACCTTACATGTAAGAACTATCTAAAAGTCTGATTTCTTGAATATCCATGAAATAGATGAAGCAAATAATTTATAGAATTATTGGAAAACATGAAATTTAGAACAGAAACAAAATAAAGATGGAATTTAAAAAATACATATAGTAGAAAATCTAAAATAAAATAAAATTTTTAAACAGAATCTCACAACCGAACTGTGTCACAATGCTTTAAATCAGGTTGAGTTATATTCAAAGACTCTCAATGACATCACAAAGTCGAATCTACTAATCATTGTGACATCACAAGGTCAAACCTAATCATTGTGACATCACTCGACTTCTATGTCAAACATATCTAGCAGATGTACTTGCAATGTGAGTACCGTGTAATACAATGTATGTGCATAGGTATATCTACACCATCGTTGATTATCAAAAAATGCACCATTGATGTCTAATATTCCACATAAAATAAAACGCACTGTACAAAGATCTTTATAGAAAGCTCTAGGTACTTAGAAATCAATGAAAATAGACAAATAGTAGCAAAGATTTAATATATACAGTACATGTAGGTACATAGAACAAAGGTCAAAGATCAAAGGTCTCTTCCCTTTGGAACTACTATTCCTAAAATACAAGAGGATTTGAAATGGCACATAAGGGTGTTTATAACAACATCATACTAGTTTCATTGAACCTATCTATCACGAAATACCTGTAACTGGCCAGAACTCTGCTAACCCCAGCGACGGGTTAAATCTCAATATAAGCCATGTTAAACACTGCAACAAACTGAACCTCAGTATAACCTTCTCTGTAAATTTTGATTTTACTGTTGATTTGGACTGTTAGAATGAAATATAATTTGGTTAAAAGTAGAGAGGAAACAAAAATCTATAAAATTTAGAAACAATGAACGGTTGCAACCTGAATTCTCAACTACAAAAATGAAATGATATAAAACTATATCACCTAAAGTAAATAAACGACTTTCATAAGGCATAAAATTATGATTCACTGAGCATTATTCTCTCTATAAATGGTATCCCTGTTTTTGGAACATGTTTTATACTAACTGCTACATGTACATGTACATGTATAATTATTCACTGACAGACATTCATAAAGGAGATTCAAATGAAAACCATGGGTTACCGCCCACTATGGAATACGCATGTATAAGTTGTACTTACTGAGAGTGTATTGAACACATGTACTATGCTTATAGAGATATTTGGAAAACTACATGGGGTATGGACTATGTTGCGTGTTAACTAGTAATCCCACATAATTCCTTTTTTAATTAAACTACTAAAAAGCAGTATCCCTCCAGACAATAAAACACTTAATAAATGATCACATCCAGACAAATTGATTATGGTTAAAAACTGGTTCTATATTCTATAATTTCACATAAGATACAATGATTACAGAATTATCAGAAACCTCTTCTGTCTATCTCAACAGTGACAGACAATTAAACTATCACTAGGCCCTTGGTAGTTACTATTAATAATCAAACATAGATAACTTCCAACAGCACATTAATGTAAAGGAGACTCAACTTAGGCACTATGGTATTAATGATTACCGCTTAATACAAGTCTCGAAATATCAGGAGTCCTGTTCAGTACAACTTAAGACAGTACTAAAACAAGTCAGTTAAATATCATTCACACTGCATGAATAATTAATAGTCAAGAAAATACTACTCAAATCTAAGCTAGACAGCGTTTAGATTTACTTACATAGGCACGAAATATTGTGGTTCAAGAAACCACTAAACAAATCTCTACTTGTGTATGTGTACGGGATACACAATACGAGAATACAACAATATATCGGTGGATCTAGACTATAGCAGATCTAGATCAGTAGACCAGGTACAGGCCTAGAACTAGTGCAATTATAAACATGTAAAATATGTGTTAGTAAGCGTACGCACTCAACAACAGGCACTCAGTCAGTCAAAATAAGGCATCACAATGATAAACAATGCAAAGCATCAATCACAATATAATTAACGTTACGTGAGTCATTGGAGTTGAATTCAGAGTAGATCTTCTTCAAGTTCTAGATAGATGTAGAAACTAGCTAGTCGAAAACGGTGGTCGATGAGCTGGTTGTCGATCGCGTAGAAAATGCAGACGATGATCGACGCTAGATGAACGATAACGATGATGCATGAAGACGATGACTACGTCTACGGTGATGAAGACAATGATGGTGCAGATGATGATGAAGACAACGATGATGAAGACAACGATGATGAAGACAACGATGATGAAGACAGCGATGATGAAGACAACGCTGGTGAAGGCGATGATGTCGATGATGATGATGAGACAGTCAATCGAATACAATAATGATGCAGTCGAGGTCAATAGATCACTTGCGATGCAGGTCGAAGAATCAAAATGTCAAGACAATATATATCATATGAAGTCGATGATAAAAGGTTGTCAAACAATAATGCAGGTGAGAAAAGCTTTAGATCATATTAAATGTTCTATTCTCACTGCTGGTGAATTAAAGTGTCGTCAATGCTGAACATCGAGAGAGTCAAAATATATCTTGCAAAACGTACAAAATGTAAATAGGTGAGCACGTCCACCGGGAATGGTCCGGGGACGTAGCAGTTCAATCCTCGTTGGATACAATTTTCTAGGTACAAATATCAACACAATAACAGCATGTGTGTATACCAATATTAAAACAGCTCACTGATTCCCGCACAGGAAAATCAGAAGAGCGCCAATCAACTACATCGCGATTGGTTCAAAACAAGCGCACATGTATGTTAATAAGGCACGTGATCTAAATACTTATGAATAAATACGCGTACATCTATGTTAATTGGTCATGTGATCAAAATACTAATGAATAAACATCGTTATATAATAAATCGAGTTAAAACCAGTTCTGAGGACATGGCGTAATACCAAATCCTCGAACTCTCAATGACTTCTAAAGCGGCCATTTTGGATTAAAAACACAATATGTATACCAGTGAATTATAAATGAATGCACTGTAACATTTGTCGCTACAGATATAAAACACAGGAAGCTTAAATAAATGAAGTCGAACAAATAGACATGCATGAGAATCTGAGTCAAAATTTCTACCTGATATAATACAAAAATATACAAAATAAATGTATGCCTATAATCATTTGTTCCTGCTCATCAATCTAACTTTTATTCAAAAGAAAATTGACTGTAAGTGCTCCTTCCTTGCAATAAACTCAGCTAATCATAAAGTTTAAGCACTGCGTAGACTTGAAAATGTCAAAGCACCTCGTTCATACATGATGGGACAAACCATCTCAAAAGTAAAAAGCAGTAGCAAGATGAAACATTTGACATGAAAATGAGAGGGAAAGTGATGCTGAAAAATCACCTGCAGGCAACAGATCCCTAAGCAAAGTTATATATCTGTGCGGTATAAAATACAGAAATATAAAAGGCACTGTTCTCATGTCATTCTATGTCGCTGCAGCCCTTTTTTTAAACGGTTTAAAATATCATGTATGAACGAGGCTTTATAAAACAAGTGACAACTCAAACTCAAAGTGCACAGGAGGAGCAAGTACACCCAATCTCTTTTTTTGTTTTTACAGAACAACCTCCACATCCTAATAATCTTGTCAGAGATCTGCCCAACCTAGCAATACATATTACAGGCATATTACTCTATAACATCCAAACGAGTAAATGCAAATGTACCAAAAGTCATTGAAAATCGAGGTAAATTCTGTGATTCGTTTTCTCTCATCCAAAAGACATGAAAGAGCTGTAGATATTTTCAACATGAACATTTCATCGCAAACATATACGTTTTTACTCTTCATCAACTACCAATATGCCTGATATTCAAAATAAGCTACACTTAAAAAGCATGTAGCTACATGTACAGAGCCCTTAAAATGTTCATTACAAAGTCCTAAAAAATTACTCACATGATTGTGTTTAAAAAGTACCATAATACAGTGACTGTTTATCGTCTTTAGACTATAGTACTATCTGAAAAGATGAGGAAACAAAGAGAGGGAATGTATATAAATCATCGGTTATGAAATTATTCAGATCAGACGAGTATAAAAATAACTTTCTTCCATCAAACGAAGTATAAAAGGAGTACCGTTGATTACATGTTGTCTATTAGGAGCAAGAAGGACGCTAACTCATTTGATTTTAAAAACAGTTAATGCCCTTTTGGTTCCAAACAGACGGTTAAAACTCTAATGGCCCACACATACAGGTGAGCTGCTGATGACAAGTTTTCAATGTTACTACATACATGATAACCAGGGGTCAGTGACAGAAAGGTGTAACTCCATTTTGGCCATTTTAAGAAAAAGTGGCTTATGTATCACTGAGCACTTGGGCCGTAAGGAGTTAAGTCTATGAGGCTGTTCACACCGGCAGAGATAGCGCGCGCTAGACCGCGCTATCTCTGCGGTGTGGAAGGTACAACGTCGTTTCGGTCCGCCCAACAGCGAGCCACGGCGAGCCAAAACGGCATGCCACAGGAGCACCTCTTGGGGTGGTCCACGAGAGAGAGCGCGGTCTAGCGCGCGCTAGAAAAAAGGGGGTGCTACGATAGACCGCGTTATCTCATTGCGGTGTGAACAGCCTCTATGTCTCACTAGCCATTGACTTCAATGGGGCGTTGAGTGGAGTTAAGTCTTTGTGTTTCTTGGAAAGCCCACATTTTTCTGAACATTTTGAATTCAAATACTAATTTTGGCAAAATATTGAGTTATGTCTTTGTGTCACTGAACCCTTGATAAGAAGGATGGGTTACTGTAAAGCCTTATACATATGAATCGGATTCAATCATTGAACATAACTTAGCAATGATTGGAAACACTACCACAGGGAAGCAAGTTAAATATCTCAATGCTTGCATAATCTATAGATGGAATACATCAATAACTCGTACCTTAACTAGCACCCTTGACCTATTGCCAAACATAGATTGCTTAGACTTTTCTATAGCTGTATGGCACGACCGGTTCTTGTGTTTTAAATCGTTGTGATTGATTCAAATTGAACATAACTTGATACCAATCATAATCTGCACTACAGAGATATGAATTTGTTATAATTTGCGATTGATTAGACTTTTCTATAGCTGTATGGCACAACTGGTTCTTGTGTTTTCACAAGGATATAAGTGAGATGAACTTCATTTCTTATCTCTTGGCATATTGGTCTATTTGTAGCATATCAATCTCAGTCTTGTCAGAGAGAGACTACAATCATTTTACTGTAACATTAAGCGCCCCTTCTTACATCAGCTATTAGCAGTTAAGACGTCTTTCTCTCCAAACCAGTTTATCTTTTAGAATGGATATGAGAGACAATAGGATCATGTCAAGATTGAGGTCTTGATCCTTAGGAGACAATGTCCGTTTAAAAGACACTCTTTGGAAACATCATCCATTAATTAAGAAGGAATGTTGTCTTTCAGTTAACAGGATGTTGATTCAAAGGAAAAGGGACTACAGGTACATCACAGAGGGTCAGGTTTCCTACACTTTCTGGAAGTCATCCAGAAAGTGAAACTGTACGTGTATTCATGATTCTTTCCACAGATTGTCAAATTAAGAGACAAACTATTGGAGCATTTTCTCCAACAGAAATCTTTCACGACACTGTCCATTCAAGAGACAATTTTCAAGACACTGTCCATTCAAGAGACAATCTTTCAAGACACTGTCCATTCATGAGACAATCTTTCAAGACACTGTCCATTAATTCAAGAGACAATCTCTGCCAGCTAATCGGCCTCCTTGTAGTTGGGTTTGGTCGAGACGAAGTAGTCGTGAAGGTACTTGAAGGTGGGCCTCTGCTGGGGATCTTTGTGCCAGCATTTCAACATGATCATATAGAGAGAGTCTGTACAGTGATCCATCTTAGGCATACGATATCCGTTAGCTACCTTTTTCGTTACCTCCCGAGTCCTCATTTCTGCAAAAGAAAAAAATCAACAAGTAATCAAATATATGCTATAGACTTCTCTGATATTCACATGCTTTTTACTGTTTCTGTCAGTATAGGGTATAACTTTTTGCATAGCTCTCTACATAGAAGTCTTCAGTTTTGCTGCTTGTAAATGTTTAATACAGCATGAATATGTTGATTAATTGAATGAGGTTATAAGTATAGCTTTCAGTAACATTATCATCGTCATTATTATCATCTCAAAGTCAATATTATCTCCATTTGTAAAATGACACCACTGCAAAACGTTAACTTTTGCAAATTATTAACGACAGCGATTTTTGCCGCTGAAATTTCCTGTTATGATACATCGATTTGCAGCATGAAATTTTCAAAAATCTGGATGACACTGGAAAAATCAAGTTTCTTAAGCAAGAAAATTTTGATTTGACAAAATATCAATTCTATTACACGTAAGTAATATTGACTGCCTTCAGGGCAATACAATATATTGCCTGAACCGAAGGTGAGGGCGATATATGACAAGTCGTATTGCCCTGAATTAGGCAGTCAATATTACTATAATCAACCACATCAGACATCTAGAGTAAACAAGAAATTTCAGTATCTATACTATTAAATTCTGTAAACTACAGTAGCCTAGCTACACTGCACACTGATTCCTAGCATAAAAAGTTGCAAAAACATTGTCAAACCAGCGCTGTACATCCAGCTGTGCTTGACAAAATTGTTGATACACTGCAAACAGTGTGCCTTGGGTGTAATTATTACGTCACACTAGAGTGTGGCAAAGTGCGCAGGTTCTCATACGCGTAGTAGATGCGCGATGAAATTTACAAAGGCTTTACATTATTGCCTACTAGTTTAACACGCATTTTGCCATTGACTTTTCAGATTGGGCAATAATATTTGTTCATTAGTTTACTGTATAATATTATTGACTGGCAAATTACCGGTACACACAAAATCTCATTGACTTTTCAGATCGGGCAATAATATTTGTTCATTGGTTTACTGTACAATATTATTGACCGGCAAATTACACACACAATTCCATTGACTTTTCTGAGCGGTTGTTTCCGCCTGTACTATTGTTGGCTTATCCATTAAACCTTGAGGGCAAAACAAATTAAAAATTGCCCTGATCGGATGTCTGATACGGTTAATAATAACCTATGTGATGACTCACTTTTATATGGGTAACCACCAAAGGTAACCATCTCTGTCATCAGGATTCCAAACGACCAGACGTCTGATTTGATGGTGAACCTTCCGTGAAGGACAGCCTCCGGAGCAGTCCACTTCAATGGTAACTTGGCACCTAGGAAGAAATCAGGTGGGACAATAAAGATGACATTTTCAACACATATTGTAGATCGTCTGTGTCTGGTTTTAATCGTCGAATAGTTCTTCCAAGAGGTGTCGCTATACCTCTTGTATGTAAAGTAAAAACTGCTTTACATGTAGCTGTACAGAAAAGACCACTAGTCTATACAGGCCATGTGCTCCAGGAGAATCAAGTCTGACAGACATGAGCACTACACAAGAACCCACTATTATTAGTAGTGGTATGTTTCCCTTAAGAAGTATTTCATATGGAAACTGGTACATCGATCAGTAACTAGATGGAACTTCAACTGCGTGCAGTCGAAAATGATGCCTCTGTCATAGAGCAATATTTTACAAGCGAAAACAGAAGCAATTTTACAAATTCCAGCTCGATTGTAATCCATTGACAGGTTCTCAGAATATTGTGATTACAAGCTATTTCTCATATACATGTATGACCCTTTGTTCTTTGACCTCATGACCCCAACATCTACTCAGTTCATTGGCTCTGCAAGAAACATACATATCTTAAGTTTGATGGTAATCCGCGCATCCATCGGTTTTAAAGTTAAAGACCAGTTATGGTCATGCGATTGCATTGTGAAAGAAACGTTGTGGAATCGATCATAAAAGGTTGATCATCTAGCATCTAGCATCTGCAAGGTTCTGGAATCATCAAAATGATAAGAAATTTGATCCATTCTTCGTAAAATTACAAGCACTATACACAGAAAGATGTATATGGGACTACCCTATATCTCTCACAGACCATGAGAGAAACAAATTTACCAAATATATGAATTAGTAGGCGGTTTCCCGGCAAATTTTTTATCATCATGTATTAGTCAAAACATAATTCTTTCACATGATTGGTAATGAGAGCTTCCATTTCATTTTTTGAAATTGGGGCGTTTCCAATACTGGTCTTTACCTTTAATGATAATGTGATCACAAGCTATTTTTGCATACATAATGAGCACTGGGACCTTTGACCTTTGACCTCATGACCCCAAAATCTATTTGGTTCATTGCCTCAACAAGATACATACATGTCCTGAGTTTCATGGTAATCTGTCTATCTGTCCTAATGTGATCACAAGCTATTTTTGCATACATAATGAGCACTGTGACCTTTGACCTTTGACCTCGTGACCCCCAAATCTAATCAATTCATTGGCTCTGCAAGATACACACATGACCTAAGTAGGGCAGGAATCCATCAATTAATTCTTGAGATAACGTGATCACGAGCTATTTTTGCATACATAATGAGCCATGTGACCTTTGACCTTTGACCTCGTGACCCCAAAATCTAATCAATCCATTGGCTCTGCAAGATACACACATGACCTGAGTAGGGCAGGAATCCATCAATCAATTCTTGAGATAACGTGATCACGAGCTATTTTTGCATACATAATGAGCCATGTGACCTTTGACCTTTGACCTCGTGACCCTAAAATCTACTCAATTCATTGGCTCCGCAAGTTACATACATGACCAAAGTTTGGCAGGAATCCATCAGCCGGTTCTTGAGATAACGCGATCACGAGAACGGGACGTACGGACGGACAACCCGAAAACATAATGCCTCCGGATACTTCGTAATGGAGGCATAAAAAGTACAATAAGACCACCTACTTATGATGTGTCTGAAGATGAAGACTCTCTGTCATTATCAGTATTTTCCCTCTTTAATACAATACAAGGGGTTACTGAGTTTCGCGCTATGACACTCTCTTCAGTCTTCCTTTCCCTCTTATGCCTTCAACCTTCAGATCCTACACTTTTTCACATAACTATTTATTTAGGGTTTCAGATGTTATCATAATCCCTCTTGTTACTTACCTTCCTCCCCGACGTATACATCTTTTTCCATCAGCTGAGCCCGACCAAAGTCAGCGATCTTGACCACGTTACCCTTGCCAACCAACACATTCCTAGCAGCCAGGTCACGATGAACAACGTTCTTCGATCCTAGATAGTCCATACCGCTTGCAATCTACGAATGAGGAAAGACAAGAGAGTAATATCTTTCTACACCAACTAAATAGTTGCAAGTTTCAGGTTCTTTGGCAAAGGTATAGAAACTTTTACGACAGGTTTTAGGCCATTTATATCAATTCTAATTAAACAATTTTCAATTATAAATTTAAATGCTATTTATTATCACTTACTTATCCATCCTTCAGCCTTTATATGGTGTATAATGTTTTCAGCTTAAGAAATTGCTTTCTTCTTGAAATTCATATTAAGGTTCATAAATTGATATTATGGACTGTCTGAATACAAAATGTTGTATTTGGAGCATTTATTTGTAAATTTAATGGCACTGTACGGACTTTAACGAGATAACCATTTCCTAATTTGTTAAGAAAAGACACCAGCTCCAGTAGCTTTCTGGTAGGTCATTGAATTGCGCTAGTGTCATTAGAAGTTAGTGGTACAGGGTATTGTGAATTAACTTGAGATACAATTCATTTGGGAACTGTTGACAGTATGTCTTTAAGAAGATCTGCTATA